GGCCAGGCGGCGCGCGCGTGGCCGAGTGTGTATGTATGTATCTGTCAGTCAATGCTGACAGACCGCGGCCCATTGGCCAGGCCCCGCCTGCCGTCTCCGCCTACGACCGCCGCCCATTGGTCGGTTTGAACACAAAGGCCCCCGGTTTGCCCCGCCCTCCGCGTGGGCCCAGAGGCCCACCGCGCCCAGCCTTTGAGTCCCAGTGTAGAAGGCGCGCTACACTCTGAGATCCCTCGGTGTCTAGAGGACACGGCGCGATCAGCTTTGGGGCTAGGGCTCAGCTGGTCCTCTAAGCACCGGACTCGGAGTCTCTTGTCCCAAAACACTTTTGAGCCTCTGCTAGCGCGCCCTGGTGCAGCCTCTCCTACGCACGCTGCCCTGTGTTCAGTGTCAGGGGGGTACTGGGGGTACCACCGCTTTGCCGAGGGTCGCCCTGGGTGGGGGGAGGTAGGAGAGCCGGCCCACAACCTAGAGGGGAGTAGTGAGTGCTCTCTTAGCCCAGAGTAGCCTTGCAAAACGCCAGGCACTTGCACAATCGCTGATTTTGACATTTCCACGCCCATTTTAGTGACAAGGAAACAGGTTCGGAGAGGTTTTGAGTTCTTTGCTTACACCACACAGGAAAAAGCCGCCGCACTGAGAGTAGAAATGCTCTCCACGTGCAAACCTATGGTTTTTCGCTGGTGTTATTTTTCTGTTTTGGGGTTGATTTTAGGATTCCAGGCACAGCAAGAGGCTCCCCAAGTTCTAAGAACCCTAGGGTTTCACAACAGCTTTTCCGTTTGAAGGGCCGTATTTGCCACCATTGGTGCCAGTGGTCAGGGCTGGCTGCCTGCTCTGCCTTCCCATGGGCTGAGCCCAGCGCCCTGATGCCAAGGTCCTGTTTCTTCATTCCCACATAGCCTCTGGACTGGTGCAGGGTTAGGGTCAAGGCACTTCCGCTGCAAGACCTTCTGAGAGATGAGGAAAACAAGCGCTTTATTTCACTTAAAGTACAGCACCAAAAGGAAACAAGACCAGAAGTGACAAAATGACAGAGGCAGGCACAGGAAGGTACTGGGGGTAGGAGGCTCCTGCTGAGTTAGCAGACAGAAACAGCCCCCCCTTTCTGGGCCCCCACTGTCCGCCCTGGAATACGGGGGTGTCCCTTGCCCTTAGGGTGTCTTAGGACAATGCTGCCCAGGCTTGTTGAAAATCCGGTGGGGGTGGGGCTTTCCATCTCAGATGGCCAGGGTGCCCCCTCCCTTCTGGAGCCCACCTTTTTGAGAGCAGAGCAGAGCAGAGACAGCTTCACCCTGCTCTGAGGTTCTCTGCAAGACTCGTGCCCGCAGTCTGGCTGGAGGCCCTCCTTTTAAACTGTACTGACTGTGGTCCTGCAGGAGGAGAGGCAGTGGTCCCTGCAGATACCAGGTTCAGGTTCTGCGATCAAGAGTTATCGAGATGGGAAGGCTTAGCTGGGCTGATTAAAGATTCCAAAGTAGAGAATTAGAGGGGTTCACACTGCAATCCAGGCATCCTCTGCAGAGAGAGGCAGAGAGGAGAGAGCAGTGTGACCCCAGAGGCAGACACTGAGTGAAGTGGCCACAAGCCAAGTCCTACTGACAGCCACCAGGAGCTGGAAGAGACTAGAAATAGACTTTCCTGCTAGACCCTTCCTCCAGAGGGAGCACAGCCCTGCCCACACCTTGGTGACGGCTCAGTGATTCTGATTACAAATTTCTGTTATCAGAACTGTGAGAGAACACATTTTTATTGCTGGAAGTTACCAAGTTCTTGGTATGTTGTTACAGCAGCCACAGACAACTAACAAATGGCCCTTGGAAAAATTTTGGCCTCGGGATCCAAGGCTCTTGTGCCAGGACTCTCCTTCTGTTCAGCTTGTCCTCGCTGGCACCCCACATCAGACTCCCCAGATGACACACAGACCCACCATCCGTCTCTCCTGCCCTTGCTCCTCCTTGTCTGCCCTCTCAGCACCTCTTCCCTCCTGGCTTTTCTCTGCCCTGCAGCCACGTGGTGGCCACACTTCTCCCCA